CTACTCTTGCTTTATTTTTAGACCTCTCTAATTAGGCCAATTTAAGAGTCACCTCCTCTCCATGCCTGCCCCACAATTATGGAAACACCTCCCCAGTACAAATCCTGGCTCAGACGAATTTATTACATTGTAGAAGAAAAACTTGTTGTTCGTAATAATGTGGTCAGAGTTATTTTCTCTTTTACTGGATGGGAAAGACTTTTTTTTTTTTTTCTGGTATAAACATAGCACAAACTGAACAGAGCCACTATGTAAAGTAAAAATACCACAAGCTTTTTATCAGGAAGGACAGTTCATCACCTTGTCCCTCTCTCTGAGACTTGAAATAGAATGTTCTAAAAGTAAGAGCTTTGAAAACCCAGCGCACTGAAGAGGAAAGGAAGAGGAAAGGGTTGCCTTGGCTTGTCAAGAAACAAATATTTTCATTTACAGAGGACAAATAATGACTTGACATGTAACATTCAGAACAGAGCAGCCCAATCACTGCATTCCCACTGACCCATCTTGAAAATAGCAAGAGCATCCTCATTTCTTGCGCAGCAGCCTTGAACCTTTTGCTGGACACAGAAAATGGTGACTGACCCAGGGTACTGGGGACCAAAGCTGCCAAGACCCATGGCTGAGAGTAGCTGTTCATTGGGAAGTTAATAGGGATTATAAAGCTGAATGCATTAAAGACAGCATAACATTTGGAGAGCTTCAGTCTGAAAATAATCAGGAAGCGTGGATTCTGTTGTATATTTATTATTTTGAGGTGGGTCAAAGGATTAACCACATTCAGTTAGGCCTAAACCACATCTGTGTCAACTGGATCAGGTATCTTCTGAGAAGGAGAGTTTAACTTGGGGTAGAGGGAAGGAGAGGCTGAGGAAGCCCTCTGTGCAGAGCTGTTCCTCAAGACCCAGTGTCCCCAAATAGCAAAGTCACTTCAGAAAAGCCAAGTGCAGTTTGAGATGGACAAAAAATCCCAAGCTCTGTGTGGCCAAGCCAGCTCCTCTGGAGGAAAGCGCTCAGTGTGTGTTTTCACAAGCCTACCAAGACTCAGTTAAACACCACAGGGCCAAGCCCAGCCCTGGCTCAGCCTTGGACATTTACTTTGCAGCTGAACCTGTCTCTAAACCCAGTTTGGACAGAGAAACTGCTTCTGCAAGCCATCTCCCGGGTGGTGTGGGATTAACCTGTGAGGCCGAGTTAACTCTGGATGACACTTGGAGAGGGCAACACAAGGGCAGCCCTAGCAAACTACTGTAATTATGCCACTTTGGCTGACTTTTTATTATTATTATTGTTGCCACAAAACTAATGAAAGCAAAAGGGCACAGCAAGGCAATACCTGCACTGCTTAGGCTGGAGATGAGTGAGGAGGACCCAGCCTTGGGATCCTGGTGTGCAGGAAGACGTGGCGTGTATATGAGGCAGTGGATTTGGGGACTACGAGACAGAGGAAACAGAAGTTTTTGCCCAAGTCTGCTCAGGGTCAGTAAGATCAATGCCTCTTGGGAAAGCTGAGGGTGGAAATTGTCACAGTATCAGCTTCTGAGGTGCCACCAGCAAAGGGTTGGTCACCTCTGTGTGAGCGTGTCCCCAAGGATCCAGGTTCCTCTGCTGCAGCCACAGGGAGCATGCTGGGCACTGCTGGTACCTGAATGAGAGAAGAGAGCCAGAAGGGAAGCAGCGACTCTCCCGAGGAGCTTTCTTGCTCAGAAAAGGCATTTGTCAACACGCTGGCCCAAGCTCTTCACAACAGGTCACTAAAACTCTACAGCAAACAGCAGCTGATGGCCCCAGAATGAGCCTATTGCTGCTCAAACAGCCAGCACAGCTAAGCAAACAGCCCGGCGGGGCAAGGGCTCTATTTGCCCTCGCTGTTTGCACTCCTCTATGCAGCTAATGGGATACTGCATTTATCCTAAGAAGGATGCAAAAAAAAAAAAAGAGAGACAAAATAGCTTCCTATTGATTCCTTTCCAACTTCTTTCTTTTCTCACTTCCATGTTTTTTGGCCAACCTGCCGTTTTAGAAGGCAGATTTATCCCTTATTGGGTAAATTGGTAACTGTTTGCTCTGTAATGATTTTTAACAGTCCTGTCTTAAATAATGCCCTCTGGTGTCATGCCACATACACCCTGCCTTTGGTTCTCTCTTTTTTTTTTCTCTCCTGTTAGGAGAATGGAGATTTTATTGACATGTAAAATGGTTACAAGGCAGGAGGAAATGAATTATAAAAAATGTAAAAGTAGAAAGCTAATAAAATGGTGGACTTGATAGATAAGACAGGAAAATAAATCTAATTTGACTGTAACTGGAGTGCTTCCTGTTTATGAAGTAATAACCGTATCCTGGACTAAGCCAGCATTAACCCAGGACACAGTTGTTATTTTGTCAAATTTGGCTGGCTCTCACAATTAACAAGAGGCAGCTCAGATTTCAGCTTTGGTGTGGTGATTATTTTGATGCCTGGTGGGAAATAGGGCCTTGGCCTCCCAGAAGGGGACCTGGCGAGGTGCTTTCTCTAAGAAGTCCACGGGAAGGGCTGTGGCAAGGGCGGGGGAAGACAGCAAAGCTGTTTGCAGAGGATGGCACAGCGATGTAGCACCGGGGAAGTCAGCTGCTGTGTCCTTCATTTCTTACATTGCGTCCTACTTACCCAACCAAAAATCCTCCGGCCCATGAGAGAACATGTGTTTCATGTCCCTGCGGGGAGAGAGGAGGAAGGAAAGCACCCTTCCTTCCTACAGCATGCCACTTCTTTGAGGAAGAAACCCATTTATGAGAAGAGAATCCAAGTCCCTTCTAGCAGTATGAGCTAACTCTGGTCTGCGAGGGGAAGCGGCATCCCTTCCTCTGCCCCCAGACTGACGCTCTCGGGCTGGGAACAAAAATGCCTCGGCCGGGGCCCAGAGACATCTGTTGCACAAGCGCAGCAGCACTTTGTTTCAGATCCCACAGAGGTCCTGGTTCCAAGTAGGTCATTACGTAATGGCTTTTGTCTTTCCCCATCGCCAGCAGGGTCTGGGAGCCTGTGTCGTAACGCCCTGCAGTCCCTCCTGCCATCATCTCCGCAGGCTGGGACGCTCCAGCTTGATGTCACCCAGCAGCACCGGTGCTGCTCTTATCTCTGCAGCAAAAACACCTGGTACCTGCCCACCCTGCACTGCTCCCCCCAGGATTTTGTGAGCTGTGCCCAGGTTTGGGGCTCCCCCGGCATGGGGTGCTCCCCATAAGGCACAGGGAGCAACGGCACAGCTAGGAGCAAGGCTGCTCTCCTGCATGACGTACAGAGGTTCCCTTTACATTTCCCCTTTGTCTTTTTTAGTTCTTTTTATTTTTTCCCCACCCACGCACATGCCTGGAGTCCCCCTCTGCTCCTTTTCTCTGATGGCCCTGAATAGTAAGAGCCCAACCCTCACCGCAGCCACAGGGAGGAGGATGAGGGCATTCCACATTCAGCAAGGGAAGAAGCAGAGACCAGACATTTTTCTTTTTACTCAGGCATCTAGAGATGGTTATAGGTCAAAATAGCTGCATTTTTCACCTTTCCCACAACCTGTGCAGTTCTCAAGAGCTTCTCTGCACCAGGCTGTGGCTGAGTCCTTGGCTTCTGCTGTGGCTGAAGCTCACACAAAGGCATCTGAACAGTAAAACAGGTTAGCAGCAAACCTGCCCTCTGTTCTCTAGTGAAGATGGCTCCTGCCCTCTCATGGCTGCAGGCAGATATGTAAAACCACGTGTTTGTTCTTCGCAGAGAAACACCAAATGCCACTGCATGCAGTTTCCTTCAGCCGGCTCCGCGCAGTCTGGCATCTCCCTCCTTCAGCACACACACACCGACACAACCACGGAGCTCTTCTGGGGCAGAGCCCGTCTGGCTGCTACAGGCGAGCAGACAAAGCGGGGCTGCCATCCCCAGCTGTGATCTCGAGATGTTACCAAACTACAAAGAATAGGTAATGCGTAAAGAAAGGCACTCACTTGTTCACCCTTTACAGAGCGCTGGTCTTTTTTCTGCCAATCAACCCGCCCTTCCTGCGTCCATCCCTTTCTGAGGAACATCAGTGGTTCCTTATGTACCAAGCAGATTTTGCCAGTAGACTAAATGCTGTGGTTGATGGTACCAGATGAGGTGATGTTGTTCATCATGTTCTCATTACCAGCTTGTTCACCATTTCCCTCCAATTAGCTTTCATAGAGGTTTAATCATATTATTAGAGCTTCTACTGTTTAGGTCCTTCCTTCTTTCTTTCCTTCTTTCCTTTTTTTTTTTTTTTTTTTTTTGGATAAGGTTCAAAGCATTTCTCATAAATGAACCCAAATCTGTGAAAAGCGGGCTTCTCAGAAAGTTCTCCAGTTCGTAGGTTATCGCCCTCATCTCCAAGTGTGACTCAAGTCCAACGCCCAACCAGCTGTCCCACGCACGCACCATGGCATCCTCCTCATACCGATCCCCCAAAAATCCTGGGCTCCCCCAGAGACAGCCTCTTCCTTCAGAGCCTGTTTCCCTCCAGGAGACCTGAACTTCTCCTCAAGGACAATCTGGATGGGGGCAATGTGAAATGCCAGGGAACGGAAGCCTAGAAGTGGCAGGCGACCAGTTCGCTTGTTGATTTCCCGGCCACCCAAAATGCTCTGTTTTCATCCGTCCCGACATGGGAAATAGCAGTTTCAAAGTTTGAATGAAGTAATGCCCCTTAAGAGATGAAATATTTTTTTGAAGCATCATAAAAGCAATGAGCGTTAGCAAGAGCCATCTGGTCGAAGTTCTAGCTGCCTGCGTGGTGCCAGGTTTGCCAGGGCTTGTGCATGAGGAAGGAGAAAGGGGTTCATTTGCTCTGGGCTAGGTTCGTTGGGGAATTTCTCTCTCACGCAATCCCTGCTCTGTTCTCAGCTCTGCGTTTTTTAACAGACATTGTGTGACACAGTCACGGAAATGACTTCCACTCACAAAGTATTCCTGTTCTTTTTGCACTTGTCTTGTTTTTGCTGTATTTTTGGCAATCAAGGTCAAGGTTGAGAACCAGCATGATTTCCGGGACATGGCGAGCATCGTAGCCATGGCAAGAACCTACGCCACCTCCGAGCCATTCATCGACTCCAAGTATGACATCCGAATCCAGAAAATTGGCAACAATTACAAGGCTTACATGTGAGTGCGTGGCTATGCCAGGGTGAGACGTGGGCAGGGGTGGGGGAAACATTGCTGTGAGTGCAATTCATTCAGTGTCTGCTCTGCGCAGAGTAGGAGGCTGTCTTAATTCCCTTGAAAAATAGCCCTACTGTTCATCTCCCACCTCTGAACCCAGATCCCTCTTCCACTGATCACCCTCATTACTCACCATCAGCTCGTTGTTTTGGAAGATAAATCTCCCTCTACCTGTTGCTGAGCTTCAGTTAGTTCCCGCTGTAAAACCATGCTGTGCTGTCACCTACCACCTCCACCTCCCCTTGTGACAGGGCTCATCTTACCCAGCAGTTTAGCAAAATCCTACAGCTCTCAGTACCCTCCTGAGGAAACTGAGCCCACCACCCTCCCCGCCAGCGGGGGCAACTAAAAAGAAAGGGTGTCCCAACAGCCTCAGGGAGCTGAGAAGCTTGGAAGAGGTGGTTGTAACTCATGGAGTCCTACAGTGTCCAAGCCACAGCAACACCCTGTCTTCTCCCCAGACAGAAATCATGGCACGAGGAGCATGCAGCACCATGCACAGGTGGCCTCACTTGGCCACCATACAGGGTTTCCAGGGGCATTTTGCATGATTGCTCCCTGGAGCATACATAGGAGGGGTATTTCTGCAGGTGGCCCAGTGCTCCTCCCTGCTCTGCAAGGGAGTGAGAGAGGCGGGACAAGGGCAACCCTCAGCACTGGGGTGTTTAAAAATACAAAACAGTGCTCAGCCAAACTTCAGTAGTCGTCAAGCTCAATTAAGGATGTAACCACACGGCTCAATAAAACACCTGTTTCTGCTTACTGCAAACCAGTAGACAAAGCTAAGCCAAATAGCACAGCTTCTCCAGGAACACCACTCCTTATGCAGCCACAAAATGCTGGACAAGTGGCCAGCCCTGGCAGCACATTCTTCAGGTCACCAGATAACATCTCACATGTTACCTAAGACCTGCAACACCGTGAGTTTTGGATCCATGCTTACCAACCCCCAGGCCATCTAGCTCTGGCACAAACATCGTTACATAAGATAATCAAATGGACCTGATCACATATTTTTCGGTTCTAGTTGCCTGGCCGGATTCCTGACACAGAGGTATTTAAGTAAACTAGATAATGACTGAGCTGCATTCTTCATGGGAAGGACTTTTGGAACACTCAGCTGCTTCATGTGAACCCAATGAGAGAAAAATTGTTTTAAACCTGATCGGGTCAACAACAACTCAAACTGGCCAAAGGAAGGAAGGTTTAAAGTGTCCATTAAAATTCCCTGTTCCTGCCAACCTACCCAGCCTTGGCTCCAGAGCCTGCTCCCACACTGCCTCTACGTGAAACAAAGGCCCAGTTAGGCTGATCATATCCTCTCCCTGTTTATTATTCGCACTCACCACACTCTCATCCAGACAGGGATCAGAAATAATACCAGATGATTGAGAAAAGAAAGCAGTCACACTAAGAGCTAATCCCATTTGGGAATATAGCTGTGCAAACAATTGTTTGCTAAATGAAATACGTTTTCACACACACACAAAAAAAAAAAAAAAAAAAAAAAAAAAAAAAACAGCCATGAACGGGAAACACCTTAATGAGAAATTAAGCTTATTAGCAAAGAAAGCAAACAGCAAAATTCACCAAGTGACTTGCTAACCCAGAGTATTTACTTATGTTGAGAGATCCGTTTGTGGAAGTGAGCCTGGGGATCGGCGTAGCCAGTTTGATTGTGGGCTGCCCCTTCTGTACCAGTGTCAGACAGAAGAGAAGGTTCTTTCTATGATATCATGAGTTCCTATTATGTCAGAGGGCAGAGGTAGAAGCACTGAAATATTGGTGTCTCACATAGAAGACTCAAATTCATTAGTCATGCTAGCAAATCGCAGCCTTAAAGCAATTACAGCATGCGTCAGTCTAAGTGAATTGCTTTGATCTGTGAGCCATGGAATCTACCCAGGATTTCTATACCTTCACCCACACATATAGGCTTTAAAAAAACCCTTCCTTCTGAGAACAGGCTGTATATCAACATTTCTGCAGAATATGTTTACTTAGCACGCATCTGCCCGAGGGAGGATGCTGCAGGGTGACTCACATTCCTCTCCGCCCCAGATGTTCAATGCACTTCCTTCCAGCCCATGACCCAAGGCTTGAGTTCAGTTTCCCATTGACTTCAGTGCAGTGACTCCAGATTTACACTACTAACAAACACCTACTTAGCCCATGCCTTGGGCCAGTTACAAAACAGCAGATAAGTAGCATGTGATACATGCCTAAAATTCCACCAAATATATTGGACCGACATTGTACTACTGGTGAGGAGAAAACATGAATACTACTCATGTGGCTGAAGAAATTGTGGGAGAAATTATACACCCCCACATTCCTCCTTCTCAAGTCAGAGTACGGGGTTCATTTCCAGTTAAGACTTTGAATTTCTTTGTCAAACTGTATAGCTGTGGTTTGGTTTACTCACGGATGGCTCAACTGCTTGCATTTGGTATGCCAGGTACATTTTCTGAACACTGATATTTAATCATCTTGTTACTATTCAGACTCCAGGAGTTCTCATCAGTGCTAATGGCATTCTAGGTGCCACCTGCCACTATGGTGGCATCTATATGATAATAAAGCATTGGTCTTCCCATTATAGAACTGAAAAACGTAATCCCAAGAATCACATATCAAAAGAAAAAGAGATTTGAACACTGTCCTTACAGGGTATCAAGGATTCACAACAACCAAACCTCAAGGAGGGATCCATACTTTTGCTTAGAAAGTAGGGCAGGAAGGTGGATGTTGGGTGAAAGTAACAAAAGGCAAGAGTCAACTATATGAAAACACAATTATTCATAACAGTAATTAGGCTCCTTTGGCCCTCCTCCCACACCTTTAAATATGGGTTACAAAGACTATTTAAATTTCACAGCAACTATGCATACCACTTAAGAAGAGAAATCAGGAAAAGGACACCAGGCTGTCGTTCACCAGAATAAAAGGAGGTGGTAGGGAGGGTTCCAAAACCTCCTGTTGAAAATGCTTGATCATACTCCCCTCCTAAATCTCTGCCTAAATATCTTTCAATGTAGAGATTCTCCCTGGATGTATGCTGTCAGCTTGCTGACTTTTCTTAGGTTGTACACTGTGCCAGGATTATCTGGACAGTGTTGTCAAAGCAAGCTGTCCAAAGTCTGCCCCATGCCTAGGGTCAAGGAAAGGAAATTTTTCATCCCTTACTGGATGATGGTGAAACTCAAGATCTGCCAGCAACAGTACCATTCTGGGGAAATTAATCATCAGTTGCAGCTAATGAGACTCAAACCATTTTGCAATGGTAAATTCTCCAAGTCCAAACATAGTAAGCCACAGTAAGATCAATGAAAATCCAGTGGAAAAGAGGATATAAGCATATTTCCTAAGATACCCGTGCAACTGAAGTCAAAGTTAGGGAGACCTGAGTGCTATAACTGACATTTGTGGAACTGCTTAGTCAGATGTTTGCACAGAGTGTTGCTCTGCCACAGACGGAGGATGCTACGATTGCTGAACACAAGGGTGATTATCCCAGAGACCTTCTACCAACATTTCAGCTCTCCTAGGCCAGATATATAAAGAAAGAAAGTACTCACAGAGCTGGATGTGTACTCAAGATTCCTTGGAGGTTTCCCTGCCTAACTCCTCACTCAGCCTTTCATGAGTTCGAACAACATATCCTGTATGGAGTGTTGTTGAGGCAGGATTTGGAAAGATTTCTATGAGGAAGTACCTCACCTCATCCCCTCCTGTACAAGCACTGAGTCAAGAATGAGGAGTACAGTATGAGGGAGGATGGGGCAGGGATGTATTTTCATGTTCATGGTTATGTTTTTGGTTTGTTTTCCTAGGAGGACGTCTATCTCTGGAAACTGGAAGGCAAACACAGGTTCTGCAATGCTGGAACAGATTGCAATGACAGAGAGGTAAGGAAGAGGGTTTCAAGACAGTACTAGCTATTCTTGGGTTAGAAGGGAGGAATTGTATTTTAGACTTCAGTTCATTGATAGAACTCGTAAGCAAGGTCTCTCGGGAGGCCGGATAAAGGAGTTTAAAAGACCAAATATTTCCTTAAAAAAATACTAAGGGCACAAAGGCAAACTGTCCTGTTTTGGAGAACAGACTGGAAGTACAGCTAGGGAGCAACATTGCTAAATCATTAGATCTTTGGCGAATTTAGCCACAGGAAAAAAGACCAGCATACTAAGGTCAAGCACACAAGCACAAACATGTAGGGATAAAATCAGAAAGGTCACAGTGCAAAATAAGAAGAAACAAGAAGTTATTCTAAGTACATTACTAATGAGAGGCACACAGAGAAAAAGTGTTTTCCTGCTGCTCAACAGAGAGAAAAATCTGTCAGCTGAAGTGTTGAAAGCTCTAGTCTTCCAAAGTAGACACTGTTGTAGCTAAGGTCTCACGGCTGAACAGGGGAGAAGGAGCTGCCTCGTGCATCTTTCACACTAAACTTTGCAGATGGTAATTCCATATATTCAAATCACTGTGATATTTGCTAATATTACAACTTTGTGATATTGTTGACTCATGGTAACTTTGGTTTTGCTGCATAATCCAACCCTTTTTCTACAGAACTGCTATCTGTTTTTTAAGTAGATTATTCATAGATTTATAGAATCTATGAATATAAAATTAAATATAATTAATTATATGAATATATATAAAATAGAAATATAATAAATATATGTCTAAAATTATGACTAAATATAAAATAGAAATTAATTCTGTAGAATTAATAGTACATGTGTACTCACTCATCTCTAGTGAATCTAATATTTTTTTCAGACTATATCTCCGGTTCCCAATGATCTTAGTATCATAGTTAATTCTAACTCTGTCCAGGTTTGGGCACCACATTTGAAGAAATATAGCAGTTGAGTTAAAGAGGTCACAGGATAATAAAGGAAATGCTCAGAGGAGAAAAGAGAGCCTATAAGAAAAATATGCAACAATTGCTTATGAAGTTTTTTACCTTTTCCAGTTGCGGACCACTGTTGTTTTTTTTTCAGTAGAGGTGTGCACTCATGCATAATGAATGTATGTCTGCAGTGCAGAGGTTCACTTTCCTTCATTAGCTTTCCCAGAGCTGGAAGAAGTTGTCCACAAGCTGAACACTGCTGCATCCCAAAGATGAAAACATTTAGAGTGCAAAGTCTTCACATATATGAAAGGCTGCTAATAGGGCATTACCCACACTTTATACTGCTATACAAACCTGTAAGAAGTAATAGGCTTAAACTATAGTAGAAAAGGTTCATTTGGGCATAGGAAATATTTCTTAACAGTAAGGATAACACAGAACAGAAATGGATTGCCTGGAGGGGAAGGGGAATTTGTGTCCTCTTTCAGACTAGATTAGAGAAATGCCTCCTCTTTTGGGTACATGAGTTGTGCAGGTGATCATATAAGGTCCCTTCTGCACCTTTTGTTCTGTGAGATGAGGAAACCAAGCCAAGCACCTAATCTGATGCTGTAGGTGACTCTGAAAGATGCTAATATGACTATGGAAACAGGACATTATTACGTATCTTGGTTGTTTTACAACACAGCTGCAGCCAGAGAGAAGGGTAGAGATTCCCTAACTGCAGTGTTGCAGGATTAAAGCCCAGATTCCTGCTAACCTACTGAGCTGAATTTTGAAGGTTCAGTTTACAGAGGTAGTTCCCCCATTCACTGCACTAGCCCTGTCTAGCCACAAATGCAGCAAAAACCCTTGAAATCTGTGAGTCATCAGTGTATGCAACAAGACAGGAGTGTGCTGAAACATTTTGCTGAGTAGAAGTCATCTGAAATACCTGCTGTACTGAACAGTAGCCCAAAAAAATTGTCATCCAAATAATAATAAGCAAAATGACAGTAAAAATCTGCAAATGATAAAGGTAGAAAAAACTACCCTGATGCACATGCATAAATATGCTCCTCAGCCCCATAGCACTGCTATTCCACTAGAGCAGCCCTGATGCCTCCCAGTGCTCACTTAGGGCCAGGTAGCTATCAGGGACTCTGGCATGGGCAGCAATTCCCTGAGGCTGCCTGTCGAACCCAGACACCTAGAGATGTCCCTTAGGGAGATCTGTGATGGTGCTGGGTGTAGGAGCACAGCAGTGCATGAGGGCAGCTTGCAGGGCATCCTGCCTGGCTCACAGGGTCCGCAGTTCTCCTTGTGCTAGGCTCTCCCTTCCTCACAGGGGCTGGGGTGAACGTGCTTGGTCTCCTCATTAGGAGCCATTTTCCTGCAAACATTGTGTTCGCACAAGTTGATCATTATATTGTCAAGCTACAGGGACTCTGGCTGGCTTCAAGGATGTAAACTTGTTCTTTGGCCAGAACAGCTCTTTTCCCAGTCCCTGCAGGGTCTGCAAAATGTCAGTGTTTTCAAAAGACTGTGGCCTTCCCTCCCTCCCCGCATCTTGTCACAGTCCTGCTTACAGATCTGCTGCTCTGAGATTATTATTCTTATTGAAACGGCCGGGACTGCAGAGCAGCTGCACAGGAAATAAAACCAGGCCGCCTCGTTCCCTCCTCATTTCCACAGGGGGGGGATGCGGCCCCCTCATAACAGGCCCCTTGTCATTCTCCCTCCTCCTCTGACACCAGGACAGCTAAGGGGACACCTGTCAGACCTGGCCCCTGCTCATACCAGCTGGTGGTCCCGTTCGGGGACAGAAAAAAGGGCTGGTAGCCTGTATCTCTTCCACTGACCAGTGGTGCCTGGTCCCTGTGATGGGACCTCCTGGCTAGGAGCAACGCCCAAGGGATCAAAGGGAGGAGGCTGTAAAAGGATGGCACTGAAAGAGTGAATTGTCAAAAGCAGGAGGCGCTAGGTCACAGATCAGGGAGGGGGTGGCTACACCCTGCTAAATTCTGCACTCGCTTTCCCGTCTTATTGCAGCCCCAATATCCTGGACATCTTATCAGGAGAAAAGCTGCCTGCATAATGGAGGGCTTTCAGGCAAAGCCAATACAAACGCTAAGGGGCCAACTCTTCTGGGAGATTAAATGAGCTAAATATTTATAGCTTGGCTAAATGACAAGGGACTGGAGATCTGATGTAAATACCAAGGAGGGAAAGAAACATTTTAAGGTGGCTTTGAGGGCAGGATTGAAACAATCTGCACTAAAGAGAAACTCCAGGCAAGATTCTCTCTTTTGGTGATTTTTTTTGTTTGTTTGCTTGTTTTTCCGGTCCATCTCCTGTGCAAGAGGGGCAAAGTATGTAAAGTATACCAAGTATGCCTTCAGAATCTCTTTGTGCTCCTCTGAGCAGCAGGATGGGTGACTGTTGGTGTAATACCCAAGACACTTAATCGTAGGCCATGCTCTGGTTTCTGCAGGTACAGACTCTGGGCGGACGCCTGCGCGGAAATGTTTGGAGGTCTCGATATTTGTGCTGTCAAAGCTGTCCACAGCAAAGATGGAAAAGACTATATCATTGAGGTGAGAGCACGGGGAACCTGAAGGCAAGTCTCCTTCAGGAAGTGTGTCTGCATGCACACACGTTCCCTCAGAGTTCATACGCACCCATGTGCTCTCTTACTCCTGTGTGCATGCTCCAGCAGTCGCTGCTCCTGAATGTCCGTCTATTTTCTCAAAGCTGTGGCCCACTGATATGCAAGGGACTTGTTCAGAGTCACATGTAAACTGACAGACATATAGCAGGGGATCAGATTTATAGTGCCCTCATTTCTCAGTGTGTACTGTGAAAAGAAATGGGAGAGCCACACACTGCTTGGCCACCCGTGTTTTCCAGCTGATGAGACCCCATAGTGTGGCAATTTACCACCATAGGACAGATGTGATTCTACCTTCTTAACGAGCACATAGCAGCCTGCAGGTGTCGATGGCAGCATCCAAAGTTTGGCATGTCTCATTGCACCACTGCCCCAGTACCATTCATCCTAGGCTGAGCACCTGCAAAGGCAGCACACCTCTCAGAGCTGCGAGGAGAGATTGGCAGAATCATGAATAAACAGACCCAGATTCAGCCCAACCCGAATTCAGGTGCCACAGGATGTTAGCATATTGATCGTATTCATGCCCCCCATTACCCATTCAGACAGAAAAATAGTCATGTCTAGCAGGTGATTCAGTGCCCTAAAAGTCTCAGTTTCTAAATGAACATGTCTTTCTCTAATCACTTTAAAAGGGAACACCAGTAACAAAACTCCTAGCCACACCTTATTTAAGAGGGTAGAATAAATGGCAAGGAGTGTAGCAAAAAGGCCCATAAACAGCAGAAACAATTTAATTTTATTTTTTTTAAAAAAGGTGAATTTGCTAAAATTTTTGCCTGGACAGCGTTCGCTATAATAGCAGATCAGCAGGACAGACCAGTACAGAGCTACTCCAGGCAGTGTGGGCTACAGACTTCTGTGCTCAGAGCCCCACTAACAGGATAACCTGTGGCTCTGAGAGTTAAGGTTCATGCACGTTCCTCACCAGACCAGGAGGCAGAAGTGGGAACGTGGTGGATAGCACACTCAGGTCACCCGAGCGGGGCAGAGAAGGAAAAGCTGGCCAGAAAATCAAAGTGGAAACTTAAGAGACACTCTGGGGGAGAAAAAAATCTGGCAAGTAAGCAAGCAGTCTCTGTCACTATGTGATTCAAGGAGGCACAGCATCTGACCTGCTGTAAACTCCACCAACACAGGCCAGCCGAGGAAGATGAGCAGAGCCAGCCTACGGCTTCATGCAGGGTGCTGACACACTAGAAAGCTATGTGTGGGAGCGCAGTCCCACCCACTGATGAGGTTGGGATGCTGATGAGAACCACATGAGCCCTCCAGTGACTGCACATTCCAGCATTATGTATCCATTCCCCGGGGAGCGGTGACCTGTTAAAGGCCATGCGATCCAAGCATGTTGCGAGCAACAAAACACTGGGGAGCCTCTGTCTTTTCTGCAGTGATGGGCCCATGGCTGATGGGTCTGCTCCTGAACGCAATTCATCGGCACCTAGAGGAGCATCCCCTAGAGCCGGCTGCCTCCCTGCTGTGCATTTTTATGTCTCTGTGCACATGTAGCTGAGAAAGGAAGAGCGAGAAAGCAGTCTTGCTAGAGTAAGGATGTTTGGAGTGTGTCCATACATGGTCAGATGTGAGATGTGGTTTTCATATCCCTGCATCTATTCTTGCACATAAGCCCATGTACGTGCACACATGGGTAGTTCTCTGTTTAAGGATTATATGCCTCTGTCAGGATATACCGTTTTTTTTTTACATCTGCCTCTGTCTGAGTGACTGCATGAAAAGGGTGGCCGTATGCTAACAGCCCTTGCCAGGCTGCACGCAGAGGGAAATGCACACCAATACTCCCTCTCTCTCCAAGGTAAAAAACAACGGATCTAATGTGATACAAATCAGAAGAAACACATCAGCCTCAGATAGGTCATGCTGAATTATGCCAGCAGAGAACCTAATTGAGTAGGTCTGGTGTACCAACATCAAGCAGGCATTCAGATGCCAGGCTGATGGACACTGTCAGGAAAGTAATAGAGTAATGCAATACAAAGAGCAGAACAAAGCCAAACAGGCACCTTTTCTACTTTATGCAGATTGAAGAGAGATGTTGACAAGTAATTAATTGCCTCCAGCCTACTTCCTGGGGTACTTTTCTTGGTCTGAAACTGATCCTTTATTTTGCTTTTCTCTTTTGATACTAGGGAAAAAAAAGTTTTTGACTGTGCGACAGTTGTATTTTTCTTGGTGAGAAGGAACAGTAAGCTGTGACATCTTACAAGAAAGCACACCTAAATGGACTGAATAAATAAGAAATCTGCACAATGCAATTGCAGGCAGTAATTAATTTTCACAGTGCAAAGCAGTTCTCTAGGAGAGAATTGCAGAAGCAGTGATGGGCAGTTCTATGAACTGCGATTTAGCACAGTGGTTTGTTGCAAACAAAATCAGATTGAAAAAGATGAGTTATCAGCACAGGACAAGAACAATCTTTCACTCATGGTGTTTGCTGCCATGTGAACTTCACCTTCTTTTCCCATAGCAGATAACAGGACCTACTACCTTTCTGCCCCTCAAAGCACTAGCACATTAAGCACCATGTTCATGGCTCATATTCAAAGCTAAAATCTACTGCTTTCATACTATTAAAACAGCTGTGAATTTGATGGCAAATGCTGGTTCTTCTTTTTTCTCTGCTTTAAAGGACTTTGCCACTTCAAAAGAATATTCAGAATGAATATTCAGAAGGCCAGGTCCTCAAAATAGCACAAGTTAGGTACTGCTGTTAGCAGCCAGACTCTCAAAAGAGCTCAGCAGTGTGTATGGTTTAATAATCTCTCCCTTGGCCCTTTTTTTTCATAATGTAGCCCTTTGACACACCTCTTCTATACTGATAAATACAGAGCAGGTGGGGAGCAAGTAAAATAATCCTTTTGTTTTATTCTTCCTCCTGGATCAACTAAGCCCCACCTGCCACATAGCCAAGCCGTGTTAACTAGACACACTCCCTGCTGCCCCGCAAGGAGCCCTGCCCATCCCCTCACCACTGCCTTATCAGTCCTTCAGATATGTCTAATCATCTGTGTCCTTCCTTCCTTCCCTAAAAATCACCTAACACCCCACTCCTGTGCACCAGAGCACGGAATAACAAGCCCGGCCTTCAGGCCTCCGCGTCAGATCAGCGCAGGGGGGTTTCCAGAGTCTCTTCTTTGCCCTGCCGCCTTCCGCTCCCCCCATACACCTTATCAGGCGACAGCAGCTGCCTCAGGAGCAGCTACTGACCTTGGGCCACTACAAAGGCCGGGTCCACATGTGCCGACGTCCTCTTGTCTCACATGGCTGGTCTGTGATCTCCTCGGGAAGGGATGAGTGCAGTCTGTCGGTGATTCCTGTATTCCTTCCAGCGCTAGCATTCGTGGCTGCCCAGCTGCAGAGCAATTCGCCTTTGCAAGGTGTCATCTTGTGCTCCTTCCTGCTTCAGTGGCAACCGGCTGTGTCACTTTCCTCACTGAAATCTCCACCATTTTCAAAGGCTTTCCCTTATGCGTGTGATTGCCTGGTCCCATACTGGTGGTCTCCCGAAGCTCACACCCCTGCCAGGCCCTACACAGAACTGATCCCTGGTGTGTCTTCACTGCCTCAGGCAAGACCTGCTCCAGGGTTCGTTCCCCCTGGAGCCTCTGTTTTATTCAACAGCATCATCTTCATAGAATCGTTAGGGTTGGAAAAGGCCTTCAAGATCATCTGGTCCAGCCATCCCCCTACCACCAATGTCACCCACTAACCCATGTCCCCAAGCACCACGTCCAACCTTGCCTTAAACACCCCCAGGGACGGTGACCCCACCACCTCCCTGGGCAACCCCTTCCCCTTCTGCTCCAGCCACTGCTGCCACAGAAACAGGGAAAAGCAGTTCTTAAGGTGGGGAAGCGAGGGTTTTTATCTGATTTGCGTGTTTTGAACTGAGCTGTATCCCAGGGAGGGTCAGGGAGCCGCCGAGCGAGGCTGGGCCTGTCAGCAGGGTAACGGCATCATCTAGTGGCCGGACACGTCCCTCGCACGGTGCATTGCAGGGAGCCGAGACCTCTTTTCCTCACACACGAACTGGAATTGCCAGATGAAGTGGGAATGGTTTTAAGGGGGGGTTAATGGAGGGCGACTTGTGAAGGAAGCTGCCAGAGGGCCCCCGGGAGCCCCTGTGTATGAGACACGGAGGGGAATTGGCCGTTCCCTGCCACCCTTTCCACAAGAACAGACTAGAATACAAACACTTATTGACTTCACCTCACTGATTTCCTCTACCTCTAAATAAAATACATGAAACTTTCCATTTCACTCAAATAGTGGACTCAATGCCCCTGATCGCCTGGCCAGGGTGGAGTGCAATTCCAATTGTTATCTGAGCGTGAGTCAGTGCCTTTCTTGAGCAATACAATCTTTAACTCAGCATTTCCAGGGTTTTCAATGTTTGGATTAAAAATCAAAGCAAAATAAAATAAACTTTTCCAACTCTTCTTGTTATTTTAGTACAGTTGTATTTACTCCAGCTGAATCTTAACTCCATCATAGCACAGTTCTTCCTGTGGGATTCTGCTGTTTGTGAAGCACTTGATTTATGATGAACTGCTGAAAATGACGTTTAGAGCTGCTACACAGCTGAGGATCTGCTACGCTATCCTTATTATTGTTGTTGCCAGAACATTTCTTACCTCAAAGACCCTTTGACAGCTCTCCTTCCCCCATCTCCACAGTCTTGCTTCCCAACTTTCTCCAGCAGTTGTGGTACATGCTGGACAGCAGTCATATTACAGTTAATATCAAGAAGACAAGCAGGGAATAAGTTTACTTTTCTGCACTGGGTGCTGTTGTTTTGGTGACATCCTATTCATTATGCATTTCTGGTGTTTATTTCCCTTCTCAGGGTGCAGTGCTCTGTGTTGATTAATCCCAAATGTTTCCTGGTTTCCTCCAGTCCCTGTTGCTTTCATCTCCTCAGACTTCAGTACATTTTGTTTCCATCCTCCTGTGTCTGCCTGTGTCCCTTTCTGCTGCAGTGTCATCCCAAAATGTTGTAGCACAATGCCAGAGAGACCTCATCCACAAGAGGCATCCCCTCAGGAGCAAGTTTGTGTTTGCTTGATGTAGAAAACCTTCAGCCACCAGAAGCCTTGGGTTGGCTTCCAAGTTGTAAATGGAAGATGGGGAGCAGAGGAAGCACATGCCATTTCCAAAAAATAAAAAATAAAAATAAGAGAAATCACACCCTAGCATGTTTCAGCATGGAAGAGACTTAGGACTAGACGTGTTGATAAGGACATGGGGACATAAAGCAGGTTAGCATGAAAGGTGAGTTGAAACAAGCATCTGTCACCAGGAAACCTCTTTTTTAACTGCTGTTTTTCTTTCTTGTGGCAGGTGATGGACAGCTCGATGCCCCTGATTGGTGAGCATGTGGAAGAGGACAGACAGCTTATAGCCGATCTGGTTGTTTCCAAAATGACTCAGCTTGTCACCACTGCTGGATCTACCCCATCACCGCTGAGGCCTTGGGTAAGACAGAATATCAACCTTTTGGCCAAGCTGCTTTCCTGAACTCTGTTTCGCTCTCTTCTCCCTGTAAATATCAGCCAGTCAGACATCCCATGGAGATGAACAGTCCCATACCAGAGTGACTGACTCCTGCTCTTACGGAGAAGTCTCTTGCAGATCTTTGCATTGGGTGCCCTGAGAAATAGCTCAATCTCCTGCCCTCTCCTTTCATGTAACTGTGGCATCACATGGTGGGGGAGGAGAGGGGGAGGGCACGCATCTAGGCATTTTGCCTTGCTAAATCAAATCCTATTCTAGATTCATATTGCAGACAGCATTTCTAGAGGTGCTTGTAACTCCCAGCTTCACTTCCATCTAAAACCAGTCCTCAGGATAGGTTTCATTCCAGTTTTTACATCTCTGGTGAAAATCTGTGCTTCCCAAATAGGAGAGTGGGAATTTCCACCCTGACTTGTTTCATTTCTCAATGCAGCCTCGCTTCTTTGGAGATGCCCTTTACCCACTTTATCAGTAGGAGGCCTGACTACTGCTGAATTCCTATAATAACCTGTCATTTTTGCATTTAAGCTGACCCCTTCGCACTCCTCATGGCACATTCATTCCCTGAGTATATGCACTGTTACCTCTTTCAGTGTCTAGAAGGGAGCCAAGCAGGAAGGGTTGAGAACAACAGAAATCTGTACAAAAGAAAGGGCAGAAGAGTAATCAGGCTGAGTGATAATACTGACTGCAACACACTGGAAAAGTTTCCATTTCCACTCAAGAGATAAAGTGAGAGGAAGGACTGTGGCTCTCTGTCTCTGCTGTATGACAGCCTACTCCCTGCTAGACCTGGACCCCAGCATGCAGTGCATTCAGAGTAAATCCAAAGCAAACTTTAGGTAGAGTGAGGGGAACCTTTAATAGACACTAAAAATGCTTTGGGACAGTGAAAGTCATAGAGAATGGATAGGATTTACTCTGGCCAAAGTGAAACCAACAACTGACCCTGAAATAACCAAGATAAAGAGTGTATAAACTAAGAGCAAAGGGGAAGCCTGCAGAAGAACATGGACAGATGCATATATTGTCTATATCTGTACAGGACTGGATTGAATTGCAACAGAACTAAAACAGGGTCAAAGGAAAACAAAACAAATGGTCTTGGAAGCATAAGATGTCAAATAGAAGACTTACGTTAAAAAAAAAGGTTTCTCAACAAGAAATGATATAGCACAAACAGTTAGGAAATGTACTTTTAGTAAGAAAACTATTCAAAAGCTCCCTACTATTAGAAGTCAAGCTTTATGGATGCTATTTAAGAGAACGTTGTTCTCCTGAATGCGTATATAGATTTCTGATCTGCTCCTAAATGAGGAATGCAAGAAATAAACTTCTAGGGTTAAATCGCAAAGTGAAAGAAGACATTCAAGACAAACAGAAAAAAAATCTTCCAGATTTGGAAATCTGACATTTTAAAAGATATTTATGCACACAAATCATTCATGCATACAATCACACAAGTAATAAAAGGAAACTTTAAAAGGATAGAATTTTATTTTAAAGATCAGATAGAGGGAAGAGTGAAACAAATTCTCTGAGTTCAGCAGATGACAGAACCCCACCAAAGCATTGGTGAGCTTTATGGATCATCCGATGTTAAGGGAGAAAGGGAAGACAACAGAGACAGTGCTGGGACTCCAGTGAATTTAATTGCTGAAAGTGGAGAACTTCTTAAATCATACATAGATTTTCCCAGTCAGTCATGCAGGGCAGAGAGCAAAAGCAGTTATTAAATTGCTGATAGCTGATATTTTTAAAAATTATTAAGCCCCCAGACCCAGCTGGCTACATCCAATGACGTGAATTTAGGAAGTGACTCAGCTGCCAAGAAAAAAAGTGCAATTTCATTAGAAACAGTTATTACTCCAGAGGATTGGTGTGTAACAAATACAAAATTTGTGTTTAAAAAGGCTATAAGACTAACATAGAAGAATTCACATAAGGAAGTCATGGATCTCACACATGATCTCAGCAATTAATTTAAAGAATAATACAAAAGATTAATAAACCTACAGAAACATGGCTTAAGAGCATCCACCACAATATCTTTTTTCAAAGAAAAATGTCCCATTAATCTTCCTTTCCATTCTTTGTCCATCAACTCTTTGAGAATTTGTTCATAAAGTGGTAGACAGCAGGCAATCGGCCAAAATAATGTAGCTAGACTGTCACAAAGCCTCAGGGAAGGTAGCAGACAAGAGCTATTAAAAAAGCAAGCAAAGTGGGTCTAGAAGGCAAAGTTTCATTGTGAAGCAAATGCCTCAGATGAAGACACGGATATGATAGATGTTAAATCTTGCAAACAGTCAAGGACATTGGGTGGCCATCACTCCTGCATCTCTCCACCTCAAAATTGCTTTGCCTTCATCTCTGAGAAGCCTTGGGTTGGCTGTGGGCAGAGGCAACAGAGGTCAATATGAGATCTTATTCCCTTTCTTTGGCTGATCTAATCAGGATGTTTTATGTTATTTCCAGTATAATTCCTGCAACACCAAGACAATGTTTAAGTGTCCCAAGCGATGTAGGACTAGAAGCTATGGAATAGAAAATTCCCAGGTTTTCCTTCCCATCCATTTAGCTTGTCACAGATAAATTGTGTACAAGATTGGCTGACAACATCATTGTTGTCAGTATGTTAGTCAGTTGAAACTCATTTCAGTGCTTCCAGCTATGAAACATTTCTTCCCACTTCCAGAATCACTTAGCTCGTTCTCTTGACCTTCCAGGAGCTTCAACAACCCCTTTATCATTGTGTTCTCCATATAAATAATCCAGCACATACCAGTCTATCTGTCTCCAACTTCCCTTGCTCTTTCATAAACAATTTTGTGCAATAGGCTTACTCAGACTTTTGTTAACCTTGGACCAGCCCTCCGTGCAACAATTCTGTTTTGCTTAATCTGTTTATTAAAATATCTGTCAGAAAGAGTAAACAGTGAGAGAGAAGAAAGTGCAGATGGCACCAACTTATTTGGGTTAGCCAGGACCAGGGATGTCAGCGAAGAACTTCTGAGAGAGCTATGTATGTTAAGTCACCACAACAGCAAACCGTACCGAAGACTGAAAAGTAAGCTAAACTGGGGTAGAGAGAGGGAGAACATAAACTGTATATATACCTTGTAAGTCCTGCTAACCGTTTCTCTTAAGAAAGACACTGTTGCAAACAGACTAACGAAAACCATTGCTCAGCCTATGGTTGTGCTGACAAGGGAGAAGCAGGGAATTTGGATGCACAAGGAATGAGTTGGTGAGGTATACAGAGAACCAAGACACTGCTTCATCTGGAATAACACAAGCAGACACGCTTTGGGCAGCTGCAGAAAGGATCACAAAGCCAGGAAAGAGAAGTGGGTGATGAAAATGATTAGGAGCCTGGAAACATTCCCATGGAGGGACCAAAGGGATTCAACCTGTTGGCTTTAGAAAGGACATGAATGGGACTGAGGGCAGTAAAAACCTGCAAAATAATGAATGGCCTAGCGAAGGTAGGTTGTGAGAACTATTCTCAAACTCAAAGTAATGGAGTTAAGAAGTAGGGAAGGTTGTAAGATTGAAATGGTCTGAGTGACAATATAAAAAATAAAAATAAAAAAAATTACCTGGAACTATTGCAAAGATTTTGCAGAGCAGATCATAAACTTTATGTTCCAGGGTTTGAGCTGGACCTTACTTAGGAGCAATCAAGATGAGACGCCTCAGGGTAAAAAGATGATTACTCCATAGACATTTCCATGGTTCATCCCTCCTTCCTTTGGAACATCTGGTGCTGGCAACTGTCCAAAATGGGAGATGGGACTAAGAGATCCCTCGGGCCTGATAAATTTGGCAATTCCCGATTACCTAAAAAACATTATGAACTGTAACTTCACCGTTATTCCCTGTGAACAAACAATTTATATGCTCCTTATTACTTAGCTCTCAATTTCAGTCCCTTGAAAATTTACCAGCCAGATGCTGTGTGTGTGTATTTAAGGAACACTTCAGGACTCCACTGCTCCTATATTACATCTGGGCTTCTCTTTGGGGACTCTGTATTAACTGGAATAGCTTTTTTTTTTTTTTTTTTTTTTTGTCTCTAGCCTCCACAAGTTCAGCCTCAGTCAGTGAAAACTCAGCCTGGACCTCAGCTCGCACAACTGTCTCAGCCACGGCCTCCTCCACAAGGTACAGTTATTTGGGACCCATGACAGCATGGACTGTAAGACATCAGTTTGCTTTCTAAACAAACACTCTCAGGATAAAGGTTTCGGTCATAGTCCCAATTCACTGATAAGCAGGAAGCAAATTCATTGTACTTTTAAAGCAGCTACTGTAAAATCCCATATCAGCTCTGAAAGTGGGCTGAAAATTCAATACAGATCCAGTTGATAACTCTGTTAGGACTTGGCTCAGCAAAGAAAGGCCACTTGAAATGGCACTGGAGCAGGATTTGGGGCACAGAGTGTATTTGTGTTTGTACAGAGCTGTAGCGGCGAGAAGTATTAAGAAGGGATAGTGAGATTTGAGGGTCTACTACCAATATTGCTAAAGCCACCTTCTGATAATGCTGGAACAGATGCTCAGATAGTAGTAGGGTGCACCGTTTTTTTACATCAAAATGCTTTTCTCATGAAGGGACTGTTGACCCAAACCTGCAGATTCAGCTTTCATTTCCTTTAGAGCTGGTATTCCAGTGACTCTTCTTTCTCAATGCAGGAAGCACTTGATGAGAATAAGAAGTATTAGTTACATGGAAAAGTACAGCACATTGAAACGACTTCCTTTGGGGGGAGCAGCAGGGCTTCTTTGAAGAGGTAGAGAAATGGACAAAAACTCCAGAGACACCACTGTTAGATATTGGATTTCCCTTATCTTTTTTGCATAAAAGTAGTCTGAGTAGTCTCTCCTCATAGCAAAACCCATTCCTCCATATAGATATTTGCTTGTTTTCCACATGACCTTCTTCATGCTTATACGCACACATCCCTTTCAGGTGGGCCACGCCAACCTCAGGCATCTCAGCCTCCACGGACAAACGCCCCTCCACAGCAACGGCTCTCTCCTCAAGGACAGCAGCCCCAGAGTCCCATGTCCACTTCACCTCAGCAGCAAAGGTCACCTGGATCTCCACAGCAAGTTCGATCAGCAACTGGGTCCTCTCCAGTCCAGGCTTCCAAGGCAGGCGTCTTCCCACCACAGCAGCCCAGACCCCCTGCTCAAGGCCGGGCTCCTAGCCAGCCAAGCCCCACTGAAACGTCCAAGCAGCAAGCCAACCCACACCCGCATCTGAAGTAGGTGCTCAGTTAAACCACTATTATCTGTAGATTGTAGAATAAGGCTATCAAAAAAGTATCCTGAGCTGGCATGAAGAACTTAATCACCTGTTGTCAGGCAGCAGTCCCCAAAGACAAAGGCCTGGACAGCTGCGAGTGACTCCAGAGGTACAAGTACCTGAGCAGAACTCAGGCCACCACTGAACTGTTGTCAGGAAGAACAAGTTTTAGGTTACATCTCAAAGATACCACATTCTTACTCTTGTTTGTATGCTCATTGTTAAATGCATGCTGTACCCTGGCCATATCAATGCAGCTACTTCCTTCTCAGCAGGGTATATAATCCTTATCCTTACAGACTGTAAGCAGCACATTATTGACCAGAAAGCTTGACAAGAGTAATTCCTTCACTTCTCTTTGGATGCAGGAGCCACACAAGGTTCTTTACTGGGCAATTATTTGCAATTGCTAGCAAAATGGGTGGGGACATGGCTACCACTTTGTACAAAACCTTGTGCTCTGTGTTTGAAATCAAAGGATCGCCATGCATGGTGTGGCTGATTAAAGGTGATCCTCAGTAGGAATCCATTATTCTGTATTAACGGTGAAATAACGTCAATGTTTGTCACAGCAGTAGCATCAAGATTTGCATGTTTTTAATCATATGCCTTCATAAACAGGTACTAGTATGGACTGTGATAGTAGATTAGATCCACTTGCCCATCCCTCATTCCTCCTATACTCCCCAGATCCTGGACGTCTTAGCATATGGAGATTCTCTTTGCTTACATCTTTTTTTCCTCGCATGTAATTGTGACAGAGGACAAAGCATCAGTAACCAGCTTTGAATAACTGCCTTCTCCTGCTGAGTCTCAGTGTCAACTCTGTTTTCCATTTCAGCAAATCGCAGTCCCTGACAAACACCTTCAGCATATCTGAATCATCTCAGCGGGGAAACCCCAACGAAGATGAAGCAAAAGCTGAGACCATCCGCAACCTGAGGAAATCATTTGCTAGCCTGTTTTCTGATTAACAGCCCTGCAGCTGGATCTGTGCTTTGCTCAGCCTTCACTCTTCATATACCCAATGTCATCCTGGAATATACTCAGTGGCACCCAGCAATTACAGCTAATACCTGGGTAAAAGGAATTTAGAAAACAACAGTTGTTTTAATACAAAGAAAATATTCTAATAACGGCCTGAAAAGTGACTGTATAAAAGTGGCACTATTTCATTTGTTTTTCGTGCATAATCAGAATCATGTATGTTCAAATGACTGAGTTGTAAATCAAATTTTACTCCTGCTAACCCGTGTGTAGTCAACAGTTATTACAGTGCAAACTAGATTTTATTTCGGTTTGTATGTAGTCCATACAATTGCTAACTTCCAATTACAGAATCCTTGTTGAAGCTAAGATAAAAGAAAACAGAAATCTGCTTATTTCAGAAGCAGATGTGCAAACGGAGGCACATATTCATTGACTGATGAAGTGAGCATGCCTGAGCATGGAAACACAGTGAACTGTGGAACTTCATATTACCAACTTTACTAAAAGTCACTTTTCAGAGTAAAATTACACATTCAAGTTAAATACAGTACCAGGCATCAGTAAACACCGAAGATCACATGAGCAGGTCATCCAGATGAACTGCTGGTTTGTTCCAGATCACTCTGCTCATAGCAGTTAAAACGTCTGTTTCATGCCTTGCATTTAAGTCCCCAGCACATGATTCCTGAGTTCTGAGAGAAAAACGTCACGTTCTAACCCTGTAGCCTTAGCTCAAAAATAACCTGAGAAGTGGGCCTTCCACAAGAAAAAAGGGGGGAAGAAAACTTCTTTCCCTGTCCCCAGAAACACTAGGGAGTTCATATCCACAGTTCACACAAATTTCAGACAAAAGCCAGCTACACTCCAAGCACTTAGGTGACTTGGTCACATCTGGCTAAGGATGTCCCCCAGGAACATGGTTAATTAATAGCAGAGCTGATGAAGTGCACATACTTGTGTGCTGAGTGTTCCATAATACAGATCGGACAGAGAGATGGAGTGAAATCCTGTCTTGCTCCTCGAACTCCCATTGACTGGGGTGAGTGCACAATGAATCAAGGTGACAGACCTGCAATAGAACAGGAAAACTGTCATTTCAAAATAAGATGAGCTGGGCTCCATCCAGAGACACCAAGCAATGGGAAGGCACGTATGCAATTGCCCCAAGCAGGTAACAATCTTCCAGAGAAGACAGAGAAAGAGATCTCTGCTGGCTGTGGTTTCCCTCAAGTTTTGTCAAGTACTTGAGTCACAAATCATGCATACAGCTTGAAGGCCAGACTTCTGGCTCTACGCTTTCCTTTGCAACTTCACATCAGTTGCTCTTAGGCATACCAAGGGAGGAAGGGAGGTCAGTAAGCTAAAAACGTTGGAGCGAATGGCACAGATTTTTGCTGTCACTTGAAGAGAGAGATCCTCAAATCAGCAAAACCAACAGCAATAGTTGCCATTTTGGATCTCATGATTCACTGGTGGGAACGAAGCCAAACAAACTATTCCTGCACAGCACCTGTAATGAACATCTAGATCCAACGCAGTCACCTGGACCTCGCATGACCAACCCCTGAGCAGGCCTGCACACATATAATAGCTTTTGTGACCTGTGCACTTTCAGGCAAGTAACTGCATAGCTTTTCCAGCTTGGGAGGCTCTCGAGAGACTCATCTGGACCAATGATTTATACCTCACATTTCGAATTAAAGAATCACCCTATCCCCTAATGATTTATCTTTTTTTTTTTTTTTCAGCTCTACCATTGTCCTTCCAGGTTTGCTAAGCAGTTTACAATGTTGCATCATAAATACATGTCACTGCCTGAGAAAGAAAACAGACCCTGCTGTTCCGCAGCCTCCAGGAGCAATAAAAGAGTGACAAATGACCTTGAGCAAACACTGTCCCACTAGCAAGAACAATAGCAGATTAACAGGCTCCGCTATATGGAGAGAGGTAACACAACCCTGGTGGGAGAGGATTTCCTTCTGTAGTGCTTCCCTCAGCATAGCTTATGCCTTTCCCCTACTACACAGTCACCAGAAATGCAAAGATAGATATAGAAGTTTACTGCCAGAATCCTCAATTGTTCTATCAGATCTTTTTACATCTCTCTTACCAATACAGCCTATACAAAAATGAAGTGACTACTGACATGGCCCCTTAAAACGACCCCAGTTGCTCACTGAAACCACAGCAGTGGAATCATTTGCTGATGCTGCACTTGAGCACAGCAGGGCTGTCCTGTAGCTGACCACTGCAGCAGCATAGCACTGTTGGTTTGATGCCCAGCTGCAATCTCAGACCTGCCTGCAGCTCCCAACTGTCATCTTTCAAGGGACAAGCAAACAGGATGGGATTTCACCCCCTTCTAGCTCCAGCTTGCAAAAATGAGTAAAATCAACAGGCAGCATCAGCTTATCCTGCCTATTTCTATAGTTCCTAAAAAGTATTTTCAGTTGTGTCCACAAGAGTGCTTTAATGAACACACTGAGCTGATGCCCTCAGTTAAAATGATGAAATGCTGTGCTGTGCCCTATAAATATTCTAACAGTACACTTCAATCTACAAACTAGATGTTGTGGCTAACAGATGATTCACAAATGCACCATTGTATGTTCACGTTATCACTTTCAATGCAGGGCTTCTATTCCTAAATCCCTACAACCTAACAAAGCAACAGAGAGAGGAAATACAAGGATTATATTCTCCATTTTACGAGTCATGAACTAAGGTATACCCAACTATTTAGGTGTCTAGATATAACAGCTGGAGTTAAGTACAGTTAAAAAGGCAACATAGAAGTTGGTGAATAGAAGTTACATTTAAATCACAGGACAGACATGCCCCACAGCATGCCTTGGGGTCTTTCTCACAGCTGTGAAAACTGAACACCTGGTCAGAGCACACTGGGTCTCCCTTTTGTCCTGCATGCTTTAATTTTCTTCACATGGAAGCCAGGAAACATGAATAGATGTGTGTTTGGATTCAGCCCAAGAAGCCGGGACACAGCTAAGACACCCACTCATATCCACCACCTGGAAAATGATTTTACAGTTTGCTGTTTAGATACACACCGAGACACATCTTGACCTTCTTGTAATATCTAGGTGTGGTATTTCAAGAGGAATGTAACTCACGTTCTCATGCAATTAAACATCTTGTATAAAGCTAGGGCTCAACATAGCAGTTCTGCTCCAGTAACTGCAGCTGTATCTTCTCTTTCACTGATCACAGACAGGTACATAGGACCTTATACCTTGCATACACCCTTTTTTTATTTTTTTTTATTTTTTTTAATATAGTTGTCTTAAATTTTAGGACGAAGGTAAAACAATAGAGAAAAAATAAGTTTCTGATTTCCAAATGAATGTTAGTAGCGACTACACAGCACTGGATACAGATGAACAGTACAGGCAAGGAATGGGGGCCACTTTAAGGCACTTCACCTTTTGTGGTGTCTCTTCTGTCATTTGCAAACAGAAATGACACATATACCTGTCTTAGAAGCTGCCAAATAACAAAAAAAAAGTAGCTGGTTCTCATATATTTCCTGTTTTCTTCTCATTTTATACTGTTGGTCCTGAGATATTCAAATAGCATTTCATGTACTGTTTTATGAATTAAGGGAACTCCTCTGTAGGAAACTCAACAGTTCAAGATAAGTCAGGTTCCTTTCTCTTTGGCTCACAATGCCTTCACTACAATGTGAAGCAACAAAGAAGAAAATGAAGGAATATCTTCAAGTCACTCATTGGCATATCTGTAACAATGCTGAGTTCATTTCTTCACAAACAAACGTCCAAATGACAAAATCCAGGATAAACAGAACCTGTGGCATAAGCCTGGGAGACAAATGACCAGGTTGTCTTCGTGGCAGAGGGCTCAACTCCACAGCAGCAAGAAGCATGAGCAGAGTGAGCAATGTGGATATCATCAAGGCATTAGTAATGAGTACCTCTGGTACCACAAAATTAATGTATCATACACAAAGATCATTGTTCACAGAAATAGCTTGAAAAAAGTGAAGAATAAGTTACAAAATACTTCATCAGTTAAAATTGTCTGACCTTATCTGAATTTAACGTACGTGTTTCTGAAGAATTCAGCACAAGAACAAAATGGTGCAAGATCCACAGCGTAGACATTCATTTTATTTCTTATAGTCAGTGGAATATAAAGAATCACTGCTAGCTCCAAGATGTCTGACTGTGCACTTTACTTAAGTGAAAAACCCATTGGAACAAGGAAATTCAACCGCGTTAGGAAAATGTTAAAAATTAAGGCTAGACTTGGCATCAAATGGGAAGCATTGCCCCCCAGACTCTATAGATATTTACTCTTCACTGTTGGATAAGGGCAGGATTTGCTCTGGTATGCTGTAGCTGTGAAGTAGGAGGGGGGAAAAAAAAGGAAATGCAACTTTTGAGAGCAAAATAAAGTATTATATTTTACTCCCGTGGGAGTTAATAACAAAACTTTCTGACCACACTCGTCAGCTGATTTTATACAAAACAAGATGAGTCACTGAAATATCACCTGGAAAAGCACATAAGTGTTACTGATTAAACAGCTTGTATTTAATAGGAAATGTAATCCATTTCCCTTCTTTGAATTCCAGAAGGATTGTAGAAAATAGTATCAGCTGTCACAACAGTCATCAGTACCATTTACATTTTCAGAAACAGAGATCAATCCATCTTAAAAAGGAAAAAAAAAAGAAAGAAATGAAAAGTTCTAGCAAAGTTTTGTTAGTTATTCCAGTCTTTAATTGAGCTTCAGCATCAGACTGAAGATCTTATCAGGAGACTTCAACAGTGACTTTGTTAGTTGTTCATTAATTAACAAGACAACACTTGAAAGGTGCTTAAAACAAACTACAATGTTTCCTTCCATAAAGATTCAATACTGCAGTAATGGAATTAAATGGAACTTACTGCAGTAAAGTAAGTATTAACTCTGTTTCTCCTGCTGCGATCCCATTTCCACTGCAACCAGATCAAGCTGCTTAATTCCTTAACTAGTTAGGCAGGAAGAAAGACTTACTTTTGCACCAATTTTAGTTCACACACAGTAAATGCGGCCATGTACTATAGCTACTTATTTGTAAAGTCAACTTGTTCAACCAAGAAAAACGACAGAAGTCTTGCTGCTGGTTCTTTGTAAAATTGCTCTGCTTCTGTTCAGATTTTAGAGTTGCACTGTAGCATGAGTTTACTCAGTTGTTTGCAAAATGAATTGATTTGTGTTCTAATATATCCATTAAAAAAATCCCTTCCCTGTATTCTTTGTGTATTACATAATAACACAAAAATACTTTTTACCTAATAAAAACAAAAAAAAAAGAAGTAATCTTTGGAAAAAAAAAAAACTATGAACTCACATGTACCATAACAGTGATAGTATCCTATTCTATATGGAACACGGTAGATTTTTTGTTAAGAAAGATTATTAGCCAGGTAGATTTTAAACAAAATATTTTTTCCTGGCAAATTAATAAAACTTTTCAAATAAGACAGACAAAGATAGGATTTGCATTTAAAGTGCTTTTTATCTGATGCAGCAAGTATTTGGCCAGTATCCTTCTGGTCTCTAAGTAGCACTTCACAGATGACTAAAGAGGAGGAGGAGGGCAGAGAACAGCATTAATTGTTCTAACTCATAGCTCTTCTTGAAACAGATGTTAGTGCCAGGTGCTGCAGTGTTACCAGAACATAAACAAACCCTGACTTTGGTGTCAAAACAGTATCATGCACACAAGTCCTTCCAACAATCTGAAGAGAAGGCAGATTTTAGTGCCTGGATTTTGCAGCCTCCTGCAGTTAGAAAGCAAGCTCAGGAATTAGAAAATTCACTGAAGGAGAAAGCAGCAGTCAAATGAACGCACGGCGAATGTCCATGGGGCGGCCCCGGCTGGGTCTAGGTGGAAACCTGTCAGTGGGTCCAGCTCGTCCTGGAAGTGTAGGGTTTGCTCCAGGCAAGGAACCAATGGGGTCAAAATGTGGTCTGAATGGAGGAAACTGGCCTGGTGCTTCCCCTGGACCAGGAATAAGTGAGTTAATTGGGTCTCCAACGTATGGAAGCGTTGGTCTCTCATCGTATTCTCCACCAATGATCGTGGGGGGGTAGATTGGGTTTGATGGGAAGGGGTTCGGAGGAAAGGGACTAGGATAAAATGGGTTGGGATGAAAGGGAATTGGATGAGGCGTAGGGGGCAGAAACATCATGTGCCTCCATCTCAAGGCCTCCTTCTTCTGTTTCAGCTTTTTCTTGTATAGCTGCAGACAGAAACAAAGGTATTTTATGGTCTAGAAGCACTTCGTGTTTCATCTTCAGCACTTGCATTCAGTTCTTCAATTCTCAGAAAAGAACTCCTCTTCATTCTTAAAACCCAGAACTGCAGTCACTCTGCCTGCCAAAGACTAATCACATGTCTGAAAGGCCTGTAACCTGCAATTTGTGCGTGCACTGTCACTCACTGATGCTGTTTTCTCCTACTCTGATCAAACTCAATGTGTGTGCACAGGCCACCACACTTAAAATAAAACTTAAGACTACAGCCTCCCCAGGTCAATGCTTTAGCCTCAAATTATCCTGTGTAGACTATTCTCAAAGAGATTATATCAAGAAGTCACCTACTTCTTTCCAGTCTGTGTCACGAGGCCTTGCAATAGGATCTGCAAGAGAAGCAAAAAAAATTAAAATGAGCAATCCCTTTTAAGTAGCATTC